TACCAAACGGCTTTCGATCGATCAGTATTGCTCAATCTGATTACCGAAAGTGGTGTAAATTCAAACGTTAGCAGACTATTCTGCGATTCCTTCACAAATAGAAGGCAGTTTATATGTCTCAACGGCAAAATGTCCTCCACTCGCCTAGTTTCTTCTGGTGTCCTGCAAGGTGCAATATTTTCCCCATTCTTCTTTTTAATGTATGCCAAACAATTTACCATTCCTCCTGCATTCACTGGCTGTAAATATGCAGATGACGTTGTTATAGGTTGCAAAGCATCCACTCCTGAAGAGGCTTCAGAAATTCAAAGCAAGCTGAATGACGTTATCACTTGGTCCCTGTCGCGTTCCCTCTCATTGACTGTCTCTAAATGTCAGGATGTTGTGTTTTCTATCTTGGCCGATGTACCATATTCAGCCCCTTACACATAGGTTCCCCACGCTCTCTGCAAATCAACAACCCCTACCGAAATCAAAAATAGTAAAATACCTTGGCGTCACCCTATCACACAATTTATCATGGTCACTACACGTTCAAAACACACTCTGTAAAGTTAGCAAGCTTTCATATTTCTCACTCCGATTGAGATTACTTTCTGTTCCCCACAAGCTGATTGTTAGGTTTGTGAATGCACGCATGCTACGCCACTGGTTGTATTGCTCTCCAGTAATTTTTCCCGGTATGTTGAAGAAAGACTTTTATTTACTGGCGAGATCTCTGAAACTCATCCCTAAATGTAGTGGCATTGTCAGAGATAAACTGGCCGATTCTATCATTGCCGGACACCTACAAGCATGTGAAAATTTTGCCGCCAAAATACTCTCAGACACTCACCACCCATTACACAATGAATTTTCAAAAGCTGTATCTACATCATCCACACGCTCAAGATTTAAAATTTTATTTGCACGTACCCGTGCTTATCGCAATTCTGTTCTGCCATATCTAGCACATCTACTTATAGACAAGGACTAAATTTCCACAGAATTGCGCAACCGCTTGCTTCATTGACAAATACCTCATTGCTTTCAGTTTCATTATGTAATGACATTGTAAATTTGAATCCACAAATATGGTGTAATTGTTGAAAATACACCCATCCGGGTGCATAAAGATACTACTGACTTGACTTGAACGTGTTGAAGTATTTTCAATATAATATTTGACAATCATTGAATCCGTCCAGTACCTCACCTCGCTGAACATTTCAGACTGAGCCCTTTTAATCATCACTTCTATTTTGCTTCCTAGGAGTGCCACAGATAGTTCTAGTCGCGGTATGGATATGGGTTTGATAAGTGCCACTCGAGACTTACTGAATAACAAAACGCTGTAAGCTGGTTTTCTTGCTGGGGCACACCATGCGTAAACGACAGCCCCATAAACTGTCTTGGATGCGTTACAGAAAACACGCAACTCTGTTCTCCCTCCTTCTCCCCAATCTTCGTTCCTTATACTTCGTGGGATCTTTATCACTTCTAAACACCTAACAAAGCGTACCCAGCTTTCCCAAATAGTGGCATCCACTGCATTGAGAGGTTGGTCCCAAACCATTTTGGATCTACACAATGTTTGCAGCAACTGCTTTGCTGGGAGGCATAGAGGGGCTACCACACCCAGCAGGGTAATCTACCTTCACTTGTCACCGGCTTATTTAGTAACTGGAACTGTAAAGTAAAAACATCCCTTGTTGTGTCTCACTGCACGCCCAAAGCTCTCTGGCAACTGAAATCAAATTGAGGCAGTTGAACCAGGTTGGTACTTGTGCTGTCTTCCGAGAAGGATTCTGCAAGTTCGGATGAATGAGACAATCACTTTCTCAGCTTAAAACCACATCTCAATAGTTCAGTCATTTCCTTCGCAAAACATAAGGCTTCATCATATGTCGTGAACGATGCGAGACGGCCGTCAACGTAGAAGTTTTCTTGTATGGCTTTTAGCACTGTACGCCCACAGCCACTACTGAATTCTCTTGCAGCCCTGTTCAAGGTAAAATTAGCACAAAACGGTGAAGAAGTTGCACCAAACGGGTGAGCTGTCATTTGATATTCCTCGGGATCCTGGATTGGGTCACCCTGTGGCCACCAGATAAACCTCAAAGCGCCTCTATCATGTAATGGCACCTTCACTTGCATATACATCTCTTCTATGTCAGCTGTAACAGCTACACGTTCTTTTCGAAATCGCAAAAGTATATCCAATAAATTTTCGGTGGTGTCTGAACCTTGATAGAGCATCTCATTCAACGATTGCCCCAAGTGTTTGGCCGCATAATCCAAAACTACACACAGCTTTTCAGGCTTTTTTGGGTTCAGTACTGCATGATGAGGCAGGTACCAACGCGGATGAAAGTCGCAATGTAACTGTTCCCCTGGGACTGGCATGGCATATCCCTTCTCCATGGTCTCCATGAACCGTAGCGCTTCGTCATTAATAAAGCGCCGCCTCAAGCTGTTCAACCTCGAGAGTGCTAACGCATAGTTTCTCATATCGCTATTGACACCCTTCTTCCTTGATAGAGGGACCACGACGTGCCCATCGACGAACATTGTACCGGACTCTACAATATCCATGGCCTGCGTATCGTCTACGGAAAGATCTTAATATAATAACTGGGCGTCTGCAAATTCTGCGTTGTACGTTTGAGTTACCTGATGGATTAAATTTGAGTCTTTTTCAACGAAGCAGTAAACCGATTTCATTTCATACAAAGCGAAACTTGAAGGTCCAAAATCACTCAACCTAACAGCGTCCAAACTGCATAAGGATTGTTTCAACCGCCGAGCCTTTGTTTGAGCACTCAATGCGTCACCGGCATGTCGCACTTAATCAATAGCAGAAATTCTCCATCAATATATTTCACCGAAGGTCTGCCAAATGGGGCCATTTTTTTCATTCTTTCAGAGATGTCTCTAACCGACTTATGAAAGGGTAATTCTGTTAAAACAACAGCTTGCTGCACATATATTGATTTCCTTTCATTTAGAGGCGGTACCTGAAAAGCACGGTTGGAAAAGTTTGCCTCAGTTGATCCACTCAGTATATTTATTTTTGAATGGTTACTTTGTTGGTTTAGCCCCAATTGGAGTAGTGCACTTGCCTTAATAAGTGCCGCACCCGATCCATTATCTAGTAGGGCTTACTCGATAATCTCTTTTAATCCAGATCTTATTTTGACCGGTAATAATCCCAGGCTCACACTATCGGTCCGAAGTCTAGTTGCTCTGCAGTGACCCTCACCGATTGGTTCATGCTGTGTGCTTAGGACTATCTTGACGATGTGAAGTAACTTGTGATGTCTGACTCCGAAATCACCTACGTCACAAGTGGTCTAACAACTGCAATCATTCTCTTGATGATTTCCTTTAAAACATAAACCACAAACCTTATCTTAGTGCCTTTCCCCATCTTTCCTAGGTATTTAACTGTAAAAAGCTGGAACAAGATGAAATCGGACGGTTTTCTGCACCAATCACACATTGTTTTGTTCGTAGATCGCTATTATTGTTGACCAAATTTACACTATAGTTTAATGAAGATTGACACCTACTCGGAGGTTGCATAGACTGGACGCATATATGTCTTCTTCGGTTAGCAAGTTGCCTCAAACGACTCTTTGCTACTCTAGCCAATGCAGATATAAACCGTCAGTTCGCTAAAATTTGGCTCCCGGTCGTAGACGCTAAGCTTCGACTTATCACTCAGCCGACTAGACCCACTAACCCCGGAACCATGAACAGAAAAACTATGCAAAGGGACTTACCGAGATTCTCCAGTTATGTGGTCGGATCCCCGCTGTTCGTCAACAACGTCCTTGTTCGTCATATTCATTCTCCGAGTGATGGGCATATCAGATTACTGTGACTACCAAAACACGATTGTCCTGGTCCGAGCGAAACGAAAAAGACCTCGTGTATAAGCGCTCAATGAAGTGAGCTTCGCTCATTCTGGATAGCGATAAACAATTCGCAGAGCAACGCGTAGCCAAATTATCGAGAACCAAGTCGATCCAAAAATAATCTACAGTACTATTTTGTATTAATCACAAATACATAAGGCAGCAATACTTCCGATAGTGAGCCCGATTCACTATCCAGCCAAAATGTTGCAAATATTCACAGAAAATATCTGCGGTTATAAAAGGTAAATAAGAAAATGAGTGATTTGAATTACCTTTTAGATAGTTCTAGACCAATAGAAAAATTCTGCACGCTTCAAAATATCAGGCAGAATAACCTTGAGCGTTACAGCCAAAAGGGGTTTAATATAACCGAAAGCAAGGGTCAGTTCCACAAAGAGCGTCCAAGCGTAACTTTGATCACAATAAAACAAGAAAAAGCAATGAATCCCATTCACATGTAAGAGCAAAGCACTTGAAGTGTGTCCAATAGATATGCTTCACCGTAAAAAGGTGAAACAGAAGGTTAAGAAGAGAACTTCATCAACATGAAAACCACAGTAGGAAAGAATGCACGATAGAATGGCGAAGAAAGCTAAGGAAATGCAAGGTAAATGAGAGGAATTTTCAGTTATTTTGACTGTCAAAGTAGTCACAGCGGTTTTGGATATCCATAGGGTGCAGGAGGATCTGGTTGTTAGCTCGAATGAGATCAATTTTGCAAAAGATCTTACACCCTCCTAAACTTACTGTCAGGTTCTGGATGTATAGTATTGGATATCGGTCAGGCGTAGTGATGTTGTTTAGGGCCCTGTAGTCACAGCAGGGACACCAGTCTTCGGTGGCCTTTTCTGGAACCACGTGTAATTGGACTGGAAATGGATGTATGATTCCGAGGTCTAAAATATGCTGAAATTCTGCCCGTGCGACTTTATTTTTTCTGGGGCGAGGCGTCTGGGACGGCTGTGGACGAATGGACCCCGTGTGACGATGTGATGCACTATGTCAGTGCTGACCTGCGGAAGATTATTCGACGGTTTACGTAACTCCGGGAATTTGGAGAGAACCGTGTGGAACCGATCTTCTTTTAGCGATCGGTAGATGATGTGGTTGACGGATGTTTCGCGTGTCGGGACGCCTATTGCCTTGAGAGTTGTGGAACGGTCTACAAGCTTGGCCTACGGGATCGAAAATGAAGTTGAAATGACGGAGAAAGTCAATGCCAATGATCGACTGTGGAAGGTCAGTGATGAAGACCCATGGAAAACTACGGTGAATTCCGAGTTTCAGTGTGGGTGAACGCTCACCGTTAGTTTTGATTGGGGTTTGGTTCGCTGCCACCAACTCAACAGTCGATGAATGGCGCTGATCGATGAGACGGGGGCGGATAATGCTAACCTGGGTACCGATGTCGACTAGAAAACGTGTGCCAGCGACCTCGTCTGTGACCTGGAATAGGCGACTTGGCTTAGCTAAACCCGACACGGTCGTCGTTTGGGCCGGTCGGCTTAGGTGTTTCCCTGTTGTGATGGCTTGTAGCAACAAGGTTTTGTGCGCCCTCGGGCTGCGTCACCATATTAGCGATGGTACCAGCAAACGTCCGAAGATATGCTTTGTGACCTGGAACGTCTCTGTCAACTATGGGATCGCGAATGGGAGCGGGAGCTGGAACGCGATCGCTCGCGGGAAATTTTAAGTGCAGCTACTTGAGTCACTAATTCATCCAAGCGCCGATTCACTTGATCGTTTGCATCCTTCCACGAAAAATTCCCTGAGTCTGGGGGTACGCAAGTGACTGGTGGAGCCGACGGCGTGTGTGCGCAAATACTGTTGGCTGCTTTCGGGAGTTCGTCTAGGGTAGCCTTATTGGTGAATACCCAAAGGAAAGTCGCGACGTATTCTGGAAGTGCTTGCATTCAAGAAATGCGTACCATGTTTTGGCTTACGTGCAAGCTGGAAGCCAGACTCTCCATACAGCTGAGCAGCTGCGTGGGAGTATGTAGCCCGTTATTCCCATGGGCGGATTCCGTTCAATAGCTGTTTGAGACGGTTGTCCTGCGTTATGCTGAAACGGTTGATGATCGTATCTTTTAATGCGTCATAAAGTTTATCGGGTGGGAGATTGCAAACCACGTCCCTTGAGCCAAGACCCATGGAGCGTGGGATATGTCCCACGAGTTGTGTGAATTTGGTGACTTGATTGGTCACCCTGGCCAGCCGGAATTGTGCTTCCACCCAAGCTAACCAAAACTCCGGGTCTTCGTGGATGAAGTCCAGGATTGTAGCCACTAGACTACCAACGTGGAGGCTATCCTGCTGCTCTATGTTGCCTTCTGCGCTGGATTGATCGTTGCTTGAGGAATTTTGTATTATATACGCAAGTAATGAGTAAAT